ACAACACCCATAACATGCATCAATGGTCGGACGTCAACCCTCATGCCACCGTAGAAAGTAATTTTCAACGTAGATTTAGCGTTAATGTGTGGTGTGGAATGTTATACGATCAACTTATAGGGCCATTTATTATTGAAGGTCGTCTTAATGGACCAAAGTATCTACAATTTTTAGAGGAAGAACTCCCGCGATTGCTTGAAGATGTACCTCTGGCAAGACGATTAAGAATGTACTTGCAACATGATGGAGCTCCACCTCATATTTCCCGAATTGTCACTGCTCACTAAATGAGCATTACCCTGGTCGCTGGATCGGTCGAGGTGGGCCACACATTTGGCCAGCTAGGTCTCCAGACCTCAATCCGTTAGATTACAACATGTGGGGTTGGATGAAGGATTTGGTTTATCAAGAGAAAGTGGAAACACGCGAAGCTCTAATCCAAAGAATTGTTAATTCGAGCAATCCACAGGCGTGCTGACAAATGTATTGAAGTAGGAGGTGGAATTTTCGAAAACCTTTTAAATTAAGAATGTAAGTATCACTATTACCGATGTTCTAAAAATAAAAATGAAAATTAATTTCCATTATTTTATTTTCAAATTTGTGTAGCTCAATAAGTAAAGCAAATCGGACACATGTTTATATGAACTTTTTTCCTAGAAATAACCCAAGGAACATCCTCTATTAGTGCCGGGAGAACTTCATGAAACACCCGGTATATACGTACTGTATTTGACCTAATACTGTATAATATCCATTGCAGTCCTACAGGGTCGGGCTACGCAAGAAAATAGTGGGGCAAACCTGGAGTACTTCTTAGTTGAAACTAGTCCAGGAGTTTACGAGGTCGAAGACTTAGTCAACTCAGAAATAACAGTTTTGGCGGCTGAAGCCGACATTGTATACTATTATTTTAACCAAAACGACACCCTTGTGGGCACTGAAATTCTGAGCACAAACATCGCAGCTTTAGGCGATACTGAGTTCTCAACTGATTTGGAGACCGTATTTTTAATACACGGATGGAACGGAAACAAAACTGCCGAATCCAACACTGAACTTACAGAAGCTATTTTAGCCGTTCACAACGTCAATATCATCGTAGTAGACTGGAGTGCTTTCGCGATTAACAATTATATCTCAGCCAAAAGCTCCGTAGACGAGGTAGGAGAGTACGTAGCAAATTTTATCCAATCCCTGGTGGACACGTCCGACCTAGACCTGTCCACAGTGACTCTGATTGGCTTCTCGCTTGGCGCTCATGTGGCTGGCAACGCCGGAGCTGGCCTCGATGGACAAGTCGCTGTTATTATAGGGCTAGACCCCGCCGGACCGTTGTTCTCTGTATTCAACACCGACGAACGCTTAGACTCGGACGATGCCCAATTCGTTCAAGTCATCCATACCAGTACTTTGCTAGGCTACGATCTACCCTTGGGTAATGCAGATTACTTCCCCAATGGAGGCACAGCCCAGCCTGGATGTGGTATCGATGTTGTCTGTAGTCACGAGAGGGCGTACATTTATTACGCGGAGTCTGTTCTGGCTAGTACCAATAACTTCGTGGCTTTGCAGTGTTCTACCTACGCGCGTTATATATTTGGTACTTGCATTGGAAATGACGAATCCGTCATGGGAGGCTACCCTGTTAACAAAACGTAAGGAAAAATATAAAATATACAGGGTTATCCAAAAGTCCCGGTACGGTAGGGCAGAATAACTTTCGAAGAAAACATTTTGCGAAAAAATGTTTCCGACAAACGTGTAAGGATTTTTCCCTGGCTATCTGATGGTGACCTTGGATTTGACCTTGACGTTGACCTTCAAGGTCATTTGAAGGTCAAGTTAAGTTTTTTAAATGGGAACCCCTATTTTTTATTGCGGATTTGGAAAGAGCAAGAAATTTTACGTACAAATATGGTCTTGACCATGACTGACAATGACCTTCAAGGTCATTCCAAGGTCAAAGTTGGTTTTTTATTGGACACCCCTATATTTTATTACGGATTTGGAAAGAGCTGAAATTTAACCTTCAAGTACGACCTTGGCTACGACTTTGACTATGACCCTCAAGATCATGTCAAAGTCAGGTTAATTTATTTACATTAACTTTTATTTTTTTGATAAGTTAGGAAGAACGGAAAAGCAAATGTACGAATTTGAAGGTCATTTTAAAGATTTTTTCAAGAATTTAAAAAAATTTCATTCCTGTGGTCAAAATGTTCTCTATCAACATTTTGGCAGATTCCTAGACGGACATAAGAATTTTCAATTTCACTCCTTATCATCAGCGCAAATGCGGCCTGCCTGATAATAATATGCCGCCTCCTCTTCCGCACAAGTCTCCGACTTATGGGCTAATTCTCGTAGTTAAAATGAGGAGTAGAGATTATTATTATTATTATTATTATTATTATTATTATTATTATTGTTATTGTTATTGTTATTGTTATTGTTATTGTTATTGTTATTGTTATTGTTATTGTTATTAT